TGTAAGATGGTCAGTACAATCGAGCTTCCACACCTGGAGGGGGAGGGCCCACTCTGTTTCCGTACAGTCTGTTACCCTTGCAATTACTTGGCCTCCTTATTCGAAGAGGATGAGGAGTCAGCTGGGCCTGAACCCGACGATTCGGATGGCCCGTCGGACGGTTGAAAAAGGCCCCCCGGTTGGTCACTCTTGCGCCTTCTGCTCCCAGTCTTTGCCCTCCCTGCCCTACTCCTTTTCTCTCCACCTCCTTCCTTCTCCCACCGCCCTCCTCTCGTATATCCCCCTCCCTCCTCCCGCCTGCTACGTCTTTCTCCTTTCTCCTTCTCCTCCTCCTCCTCATGTGGGCGCGCTGGCGGGGCATCCAGGCGAGCCGCGCGCTCCCGTCGCTGGCGCGCGCCAACCCTCAATGCGTCCTCTGCCCTCTCACGCATGCTGTCCGGCCGCTCCCTCAACAGATTTTTTGGGGCAGTCTGCGGGCACCTCCCATGTGGGCCCTGGTGGTCAATTTGGGGGGGCCTCCCAAAGGGGAGAGGGTCAGTTTGGGGGCACCTCCCAAATCGGAGGGTCAGTTTGGGAGACCCTCCCAAATGGGGGGGCCAGTTTGGGAGGCCCCCCCAAATGGGGGGGGTCAGTTTGGGAGCACCTCCCAAATCGGAGGGTCAGTTTGGGAGACCCTCCCAAATGGAGGGGTCTGTTTGGGAGCACCTCCCAAATCGGAGGGTCAGTTTGGGAGACCCTCCCAAATGGGGGGGGTCAGTTTGGGAGGCCCTCCCAAATGTGGGGGGTCAGTTTGGGAGCACCTCCCAAATCGGAGGGTCAGTTTGGGAGACCCTCCCAAATGGGGGGGGTCAGTTTGGGAGGCCCTCCCAAATGGGGGGGGGGCAGTTTGGGAGGCCCTCCCAAATGGGGGGATGCAGTTTGGGAGGCACTCCCAAATTGATAAGGGTAACTTTGGGGGGCTCTTCCAGATGGGAGGGTGTCCGTTCGGGTGCGCCTCCCAGATCGCCTCCCTCCCCCCGTTTGGGGCAAGGTCCTTGCCATTCCTGATACCCCGACCGCTCCCCCTGCGGCGGGCAGTCCTGCATGTCGTCAGGCCCCGGCACGACCGCCAGCTGACGTCGCGCGACGTCGCAGGGCGCCTGCGCGCAATGGGGGCGGGGCGGTCAGCGCTGACGCTTCCCCATCTGGGCCCCTCTGTCTTTTGCATCCTCCCTCTCATTCCTGTTTCAAGCTGCCATTTTGGCCCGAGTCGTGCTTGCTTTGCTGCTCGATTCACGTCACTTCTGCATGCGTTTCGATATCCACGCATCCAACCACCATGCTCAGCCGCCTGGCCCCCGCGCCCGGACAGGTCGTCGTCCCTGAGAAAGTATGCCGAAGCATCGAGGACTCCTTCAGGTGGGCGTCCGATGCATTGGATACGTGCAAACACTTTGTTGGCGTGAGCGACATTAAGTCCGTCGTGTCCAATCGCATTATCACTCTCTCTAGCTCGTTCAGTGGAATTGGCAGCAAGGAAGTGGCGTCGAGCCTCATCGAGTCGGCGTGTGCCGAGTTTCTGCACGCCGAGGGCTCGAGGGACTCGCCGCTCCAATTCAGGTCGCTTTGGGCTTGCGAGTGGAACGGGCAAGCCAAGAGGGAATTAATGGCCAGCCCTCAGCTCAGGGATGCTTGCGTCTTCTCTGACATCCTGGATGCTGTGGACAGAGCTAGCCGCAAGCGCATTCGCAAGGTCGCGAAGTTGCAGGACCAGCTGCTCAAGAACAAAACGATCAAGGGAGCGGCCAAGACTCGCAAGATGAAGGCCTGCTCCTGCTTCGTCCTCTCTCTCTCTCTCTCTCTCTCTCTCTCTCTCTCTCTCTCTCTCTCTCTCTCTCTCTCCTCTCTCCCTCTCCCTCCCTCTCTGTCTCTCTCTCTGGCTCTTTCTCCCTCCTTCCCTTCTGCCCCCTCTCCCCGGTCCCCAGTGGGGAAACTCGCCGAGGCAACTCTGGAGCTGGCCCCCCTCTGGTACATGCACTCCTCCTCCCCTCCTCCCTCCAACTCCCTCCTCCTCCACCTCGCCCACTCCCTCCCTCGCCTCCTCCACCGTCCTCCTCCTCCTCCTCCTCCTCCTCCTCCTTCCTCCCTCGCCTTCCCTTCCTCTCCTCCTCCTCCTCCTCCTCCTCCTCCTCCTCCTCCTCCCTGGGGCTATCGCCGGAAAACTCGTTTTGAATCTGCCCTGGGCCAATCCAATTTTCCGGGGTATGTCGTGAGCTCCTCCTCCTCCTCCTTCTCCTCCTCTTCTTCTTCTTCCTCCTCCTCCTCCTCCTCCTCCTCCTCCCATCCTCCCCCTCCTCTCCCCCATCGCCCCCTCCCCTCCACTGCCCCGGCCCGCCGCCCCGCCGAGGCAATGTGCAAGCAGATCAAGCACATCCTCGACCGCAGCGCCATCGAGCCTGACGCGCGCTGTGCCAGGCACAAGAGGGCACGCCCACTCGTGAAGGCCAGCCAGCCATGCTGCTCTGCCGTTGCTGCCCCCTGCTCCTGCTCACGGGTCCCTCCCGTTTCCCTCCTCCTCAGCTTCCCTCCGTTTCCTTTTGTTTCCTCTCCTTTCCTCCCTCTCCTCCTCCTCCTCCGGCCCCGCTCCAGCCCAGTCGGGGGGAGCGAGGGAGAGGGATTTGAAGCTGCCCCCCCTGCGAGGCAGACGTTACGAGCGGCGGTTCGCCGTGCACCGACGCATCGAACTACGGGAATCAATTAATGATGTCCGGCAAGCAGAGTACATTTTTCTGGACTTGGGTGAAAATTAGGCGATACTTACTCGAGCACGTGTGGGTACACGAAAACGTCGACAGCTTCGGCCAAAAAGATTTGGTAGACAGTCTAGGAGATTTGTACTTCATAGTTCGCGTGGTGGTGAACTCGTCTGCCCAAGGGTTTGCGACCTCAAGGAAGAGGCAATATTGCGTTGGAGTGTTGAAGACCTTCGCGGTTCACAACGTCCCAGATGTCTCATTCGATATGTCGATGGTCGCGTTCGAGGCATGGTTCGGGTTCGGCAACACGCTCCAGCGCCTCTTCAAGCGAGGCGTCACGTACACCTACACCGAATACATGAAAGCCAATGCCGACGAGCTCGCCGAAGCCCTCGAGTGGGCGAGCAATCGCCCTGCGACCCGGGACCGTAGGGTGTCCGAGCTCGAAGATCCGGGAACGGCGTGGGGTGACGAACCAGGGAGCTACCTAGCGAGCCTTTCGATCAGGGAGCGGAGCGTGTGGGACGACACTTGCGGGCTCTACCCAGGGGATGCCATCGACTTGGGCCAAAACCAGAAACGCAGGAAGTACAAGTCCACAGCGGGAATCCTCCCCACGCTCATCAGGGGCCAGGGGATGCTGTTCACGGACCAGGCCCCGTCCCTCGAGACCCCCGGGGCGAAGGAAGCGAGGTATTTCGTGCCATGCGAACTCTGGCTTGCCATGGGGTTCCCGGTCACGGCAGAGACGTCCCAGGCCAGATCGCATTTCCAACGGGCGGGGCACCCCGATCCCTCCGATCCTGTCCGATCCTTCCCTTCCTCCCTCCTCCGCTCCCCTCTCCTCCTCCCCTATTCTTCCTCACTGTCCTCACTCCTCCTCCTCGCCGCCTCCTTCCCTCCACTGCTCCACTCCTCTCCTCCTTCGTCCCAGGGGTTCCCGGGGTTCCCGGGGCCCCAGGCTTGCGGTGGCGTGAAGTGCGTCTTCTCGCGTGATTGCCCTGTCACGCCCCGGCGCAGTGTGAATTCGCAAAAGACGGCAAACGGAAACGCAATGCACGTGGTTTCGATCGGGAGTGTCCTCATGGGGATCACCTTGGAACTCCCTTTCCTGGGCCGCCCGTTCGAATCGCCATCTCGCTTCTCACTGGCCGCGTCGTCAGTGGTGAGGGCGGGCCAGCAGAGGCGCCTTGTTGCCCGCGCGAGCCGCTCTGACCCAATATCTCCAGCCCCTCGCAAAGCTGGTACGGGGCCCATTTAGGACTGTACTCTGTGCTCTCGGACTCTCATTCATTTGCTAGCTGCTCACTGCTCCCTTGCTGTCCCTTGCAGCGTGCGTGCTGGTAGCGGCATGTAGCGGCTCGCGCGTGCGCGTGTGGAAACATGTGCGTGTGCTCGTGTGCTGCATGTGGCAAAATGGGAAGACATTAGTTGTTCTCTCAAGCTCCTCTCTCTCTTTATCTCTCTCCTGCCTCCCTCCTCTATCCCATTCATCCTTTCATCCTTCCATCCTTCCATTTGTTCATCCGCCGCCCACCCCGCCCCGCCCGCCGCCGCTCGGGTGCCTCGTCGGCGGCCGGCGCTGCAGGCGGGCCCGGGGGGCCGCCCGCGCGCGCGCGGCCTGGGCCCCTGGGCCAGGTGGGCGGTCACGGCCAGGCACGGGGATTGGCAAGAGAGCAGGGAATGAAGGAGGAGGAGGAGGAGGGGAGAAGGGGAGGGGATGGAGGGAAGGAGAGAAGGGGGGGACATAAGCAGGAGGGCGGACTACGGCGCATCAGGGCGCACACGAGAACTAGGAGGCTCCAGGGGCCCCCAGGGGCCCAAGCCCGATAGGGCCCCAAGAAGGTTCCAAGAGGGTTTGAGACATGTACCAGAGTGGCCCAAAGTGTCTCCCTCCTTTCTGTCAAAATGGCGTCGTTCTGATCAAGATTTCGAAGCGCATCCAGCCGCGGCGGGACGAAGCCCCAGGAGGCGCCACAGGAGGGGGCGAGGGACGAAATGCACGGCAGAAGAAAAACTGGTTCCACTCTACCCCTCCCCGCCCTCCCTCCCTGCCTCTCTCCTCCGGCCACCCCCTTCTGCATCCTTTCCACAGCTTTTCTGGCTTGGACCACCTTGGAGCATAGGCGAGCAACCGCGCGGCCCTACCTCCTGCACCGTCGGCACTGCACCGTCCGTCTACCTGCAAGTCTCATCGCGATGACTACGAAGAGATATGGACGATTCGATGGCGGTTGCAAATCCGTCTCGGACCGATACCCAGGCATGACGGGCCGCGTGTTACAGGACGAGATCCGCGCTGACTATATCATCGCGGAGAACTCGTGGGTGCCGCTGTTCCTCGACCAAGCGCGGACCCAGAAGGCCTTTGAAAGGCACGAGCTGAACGACCGCAACTGCTGCGACACCCGCGACAAGTACAAGAAGGATATCAAGACTCGTGGGTTCATTGTCGGCGGGCGCAACGAGATGGTAGTGATGCGACGGTCAAGCTCAACTGACAACAGCTTCTGGATCCTCAGCGGGGCTCACGTCATCGAGGCCATCTACGATGCCTTCGACGACATGGTGAAGTCCAAGAGGCACAATCCACAGGTGGCAGCTACAGTCATGAAGGGGATCCCCATCACTGAGGCCGACCACAGGACCCCGATTGATGTGGTCACCCACCTCACGGACGTTGGCAACATCCTGAACGGGATCGGCACCAAGACCACCTTCGTTCAGGCCATGAAGGTCGTCCAAGATGTCACGAAGGGGTGGGCCGACAAGCGCAGAGCGGATATTATCGAGGGTCGAATGCGAATGCTCACGCTGCGTACCCCCCCCTCCCCCGATAACGAATCTGCCCCCCATGTATCCCGGACCCGAACCCGGACTCGTCGTGCCTGTGGGCCAGTGGTGGCGGGGGGCGGTTCGCAGCGTGAACACTCGCATTGATCATGAGGATCGGGAGGTCGCCGCCGAGGCCAGCGGGCAGGCGGCTCCAGAGGTGGACCCCGGGGCTGAGCAGGCTGAGGAGGAGAAGGGCGATGGCCCCAGCAGGGCAAGTCAGGAAGGTCTCGAGACGGAGTTTGGACAATTCATCGAACAGAAATATCCTGGTCGGTGGACGTCGTTTGCATCTTTCAAGAAGTGCAGGGCGCTGCGCAACAAGCTCTCGAACGCCCTGTTCACCAAGTTCGAAAAATACATGAATCAGCACTGCATCTTCTCCGACAATCGCATCGACAACGTCGCGGTGTACGGCGTATTGCACGAGGTGAGCGCGATCCTGACGAAGGTTGGTATGCTGTCTTATTTCGTCGAGGCAAGCGGGGGGAGTCAACCGATGCAAAGAGATGCGAATAAGCGAACCCACCTCCTCCTCCCCATCCCTCCCCCAACGCTCGCCGCTCACTCCCCCCGTCCGCCTCCTGCCATCCAGTCCCCGTCCGATCCCTCTTTCCTCCTCCTCCCCCACCCAACTTCCTCTTCACTCCTCCACTCATCCTCGTGTGCGCCCTCCTTCTGTCCCCCCCCTCCCTCGCACTTTGCATTGGTTGGGTTTCTCGCCAGGTAGCTGCATTTTGCGTCCCGACCAACGACGGGACCCCGTGGGTCATCCAGGTCCCCAAGGACGCCGAGAAGCTCAAGGTCCTGACTCGCGACATGGTGCAGTCCAAAGTCTTTCAGGCGTCGTTGGCCTCGCAGAACCCCGGAGTTTTGACGCAAGAGGGACGCAAGCCCCAGCAGGGTGGCAAGAAGAAGCGCAAGCGCGCTGAGACAGATCTCATAGCAGACCATGTCGCCCAGGGCAAGCCCGTCCCCTTCTTGAGGGACGTTGTCAACACGCTGGAGCACACGCTAGATGGAGTGCCGCCCGAGTCCATCGACTTCAACATTACTTTTTGGCTGCTGCTGAAGGCAATTGAGTTCGGCCTGGTCGGCCTCAAGCAGGGGGTCAAGCTTCCAGTGAAACCGTCTGCTAAGGTAGACGGGAAGGCCGTCATCCACCAATTCATCCAACAGGAGCAGCGGCGCTTGGACAAGGAGGGCGCGGATGAGCCTGAGCAGCCGGAGGACGGCGGGGAGGCCGAGGGCGGCCAGACGGGCACGGAGCCGGAGGAGCCTGAGGAGATCAAGGTCAAGGAATTCAAGGCGTACCACCGTCTGCGACCGCACCTCAAAATGCTGGCTGCAGTTGCCCACGGCCTTGATGCGAATGGCGCTGAGGATGGTGATGATGCTCAGGAGGGCGGCGGAGAGCCTGAGGCCGAGGCCGCCGAGGCGTCCGCAGGGTCAGGCGAGAGGAATAATAAGGCGCAGAAGACCGAAGCGGCGAATTCAACGCTGCAGGATGACATCAAGAGAGCAGCGAAGAGACTGGGGGTGGATCCAGCTTGCATGCAGAATATTTGGGAGATCTTTCAGTCGGGTGGCGATGACGTCAAGCGCGCGCTGACAACGACTATCACGAATAACCCCCCGTGCAATTTGGGTGGGCCAAGCAGGGTCGCGAGGCTCGTCAAGAGGACTCACAAGGCGTTCGGTGATGCCAACACTTCGATTTACAGGAAGCTCTCTGGTGTCGGAAAGATGTCGCTGGAGGAGTTGGTCGATTTGGTAGATCTCGAGACGGCTGAGAAGAATGTCCTGGGCATGATCGCCGATGCCGCCTGGAACGCCATCGACGAAACTTGTTTCAAGGTGGCGCGGAACCTGTACACCTTCCATGACAATGTCAACTGCAGTGCCTCCGACCTCCGCGCCATGGCCACGATCTGCGAGGCTTTCGACATGGTGGCGGATATCTTCAGCAACAAGCGCTCTGTCGAGACGTTTCTGAAGTACAGGTTCGTATACTGCATGGCGCTCTGCGAGGAGACGTCGCAGGCAATCCATGACATTGGAGACCTCCGCGTCGGGGCCGAGGGCGAGAGCGAGTCGGACCTGAAAGCGAAGCGCGATAAGCGCAAGGCTTTGCGCGCCTACCTCGATCACACGGCGAGTTTCATGGCCGCGTCTCTGGAGGAGCTGGCAAGCATGGAGTTGGCAGACATCGGCAAGCAATCGTGGGTGTCTCGGGTCCAGAACGCTGTCAAGAGCGCAGCAGGTACCACAGTGCCAGTGGAGACCAACTTCGAGAAGTTCAAGAGGACCAAGCTTTCCCAGTTCAAGGCGATGACCCTGCCAGCTCTGAAGTCTGAGTGCGAGAAGATGGAAGTGGATTACGAGGACGGTTGGAAGAAGGACGCCATCGTCGAGAAGCTCGTGGACAAGGCGATCGAGGACAAGCAGTCAGCTGACCTCGCGGCCAACGATGCCTTCTTCGAGAGCGTCCGGGGCATCTTGGGGTCTCTGCCGCAGGACGGCCCCGTCGACGACCAGGCCGAGGCGGAGGACAGCCTGGAGTCCGCCAAGGAAGAGAGCCAAGCCGCCAAGGATGATGCCGCCTTCCACCTGGTTGTAAAGGATGATCCAGCTGTCAGGGCTTATTTGCGCACCATCGGAAAGGCGCAGGCGTGCGCATCGTGCGCGACGGCCTGGCTGATGGCAAGCTTCACTCCGCCGACGGCCAGCGTCAAGCACAGGTTCAACAACAAGGGCAAGGCTGTGCCTGGCCGTCTGTACCACGACTTCCGGGACGTCGACTGGGGGCTGGCGCTCCCAGGCAAGATCGTGCCTGTTCCTGTGGGGACGCCGTTGCAGGTGGGTAAGCAGATCAAGTGCGGGTGTGTGAAGGTTTGCCCAGACAAGGCGGATCTCAAGACGGTGGTCACATTCGACCTGTACCTCGTCCCGGAGGCCCACCACCTCGACGTCATGTCTGACTCCTACTCCCCAGCTTGGACGGTCAGGAGCTTGCCCCTGGGGCCGCGGACTGAGGGCGGCGGGCCGACTGCCAAACTGAGCAAGGAGAAGACGATGGTCTTCGACTGGACTTGGAAGGAGGAGAAGGAGGAGGAGCAGATGGGCGAGGCGGATGCAGAGTCGGTCAAGACTGTCGAGCCGCATGCTGGCGGCAAGAAGCAGATGGTGGTCATGGTCGAAGGCTGCTGCGTAGAGGTCAGCACGCACGTCATCAAGCCGATCCCGCAAGAGTTCGATACGGCCTGGCAGGTTCACGGCTGGGGCGAGTCCGACTTCCTGGAGGTCGTGCGCGAGCCCACGGAGAGCGAGCGCGCGCACATGCAGAGGGTCGCAGCCGCTAAGGCCGCTCGCCAGACCAGGAGCCAGGCGCAGAAGGAGGAGGCCGCCTTGCAGAAGATGGGCGCGCACATCATGAGGTAGGGCGAGCGGCGCCGCTCCAAGGCTTTTCCCTAATTGGCAGCGCGGCAGCTGCTGTGAGTCTGTGTATATACGCAGCAGAGACATCATCAGGAGAAGGAGGACGAGGAGGAGAATGAGGAGGAGGGAGAGAGCGAGAGATGATTGGGCTTTGCCAGCTCTTCTAGTTTTGTAGCTTCGGTACTTCGGTAAATTCCTCCCCACCTCCTCCCTCCTCCTCCTTCTCCTCCTTCTCCTCCTCCTCCTCCTCCTCCTCCTCCTCCTCCTCCCCCCCCTCTTCCTGCCCTCCCCCTCTTCCCCTGCTGTCCTCACTCCGTCCGTCCTCTCCTGGACACTTTAGTAGCGTTTCGACTGGCCAGGTCCACTGGCCGAGGCTAATAGGGCCCTCTAGGATAGGTATAGGAGTTTTGTTACTGAGCGCCTGAGCGCAAGCTGTCTGTAGTGGCATTCGCTGGGCAGCTAGTTGCTCGAGGCTCGAGGCGGCCCCGGAGCAGGATTCGCGCACGCGCGCACACGTGCGCCACACACGGTGGCGCTAATGCACATGGGGGCGTGCAGTGCCCAGCGCAGGTCCTCGACTCGACGCATGCCGCGCCTACACGAGACACAAGACGAAAATCATCATCACCATCACCGTCACCATCATCATTAGCAACATCACCATCACCATCACCATCACCATCACCATCATCATCATCATCATCATCATCATCATCACCCTCCTCCCTCCGTCTGCCCGCGGCCTGGGCCAGAAGCCTGTCAGAAGCCTGAAAGAGACAGAGAGAGAGAGAGATAGAAGGAGGGAGGGAGGAAGAGGGACAGGGAGAGGGAAAGGGAGGGATGGAGGGAACGGTGGACGTCTGCCGCAACTCCGCCGACCTTATGTTATGCTGTGATAATGATGTGCCGACGCTGTGAGTTGCGATGCTGCGCTATGCTATGCTGTTCTCGGTTGCGGCGGTCACCTATTTGGACCCCCTTGGGGATCCCCGAGAAAGCCATCTTGGGCCCGTTTTGGAAACGTGTTTGAGTAAGAGTATGATTGAGGCCCGATAAGGGTCGAAGTCTGCAATCCAGTTCAGAAAGAGTCCGACGATCCAGGTTGGGCCCCCCTGGCCTTCTCTTGAGGCCCCTCGGGAGCCCTCCCACCCTGTCCTGGCCCCCTCGGGGCTCCAAGAGGGCCCCAAGAGGGCTCCAAGAGGGCCTCCGGAGGGCCACAGGAGGGCCCCCAAAAACGCACAAAAAAAGACACAAAAAAGGCACAAGAGGGTTTTGATATGGAACATATCTTGTGACTTTGTGTGTGTGTGTGTGTGTGTGTGTGTGTGTGTGTGTGTGTGTGTGTGTGTGTGTGTGTGTGTGTGTGTGTGTGTGTGTGTGTGTGTGTGTGTGTGTGTGTGTGTGTGTGTGTGTGTGTGTGTGTGTGTGTGTGTTTTGCCCATTTGGGGCCCTCTCGGAGCGCTCGTGGGGCCCTCGTGGAGCCCTCTTGGGCCCTCTTGGAGCCTTTTGGAGGGCCTCTTGGAGCTCGGGGGGCCTGTTGGAGGCGATGGCGGAAGCCTCTTGGGCCGTCGGAACACTTGAATCAATTAAGATTTTGGGGGAAATCGTTTCTGTCTGCCTCGTGGGGCCCTCTTCGGGGTGATGTGTTGAGCTTTCCTGTAGCTTTTTGGGAGCCTCGGATGACCGTATTACGCGCCAGCCCTGCCCAAACAGGGGCGCGCGCGCTGTGATTTCAGACGCGACCAGCGTGACAATTGATGCCGATTCACTTCGTTCCGAAGAGAAGCTGTGGAGACGGCGCGATCGCCCCAGACGGCCCGATCGGCCCCAAACGGCCGAAATCAAGCAATCCATGGGGGGGTTGTCGTCGACCCTTTTGGGCCGCCTCAACACGACCCCATTTGTTTTCGAGAGTGACGATGGCAAGATAGTAGACCTCGAGGCCACCCCTTATTGAGATGGATGAGCATGTGTGTTCAGTACTTGCGTGCGCGCACTGTGCCTGCATCCTTTGAGCTGTAGGCTGCGCAGCCGTGTGCACCTGGTAACGAGTAGCGTTGCGGCGCGGACAGTTGACATTGCGAATGCGCGCGTAGCTTTGGCCCACTCCCTCCTCGTGTCGCCTCCCTCCCGCCTCGGTCGTCGCCTGCGGCCCTTCGCTCGGCTTCGGCCCCGTTCGGTCCCCTCGGTCGCCCCCTCGCCTGGCTTCGGTCGGTCCCTGCGTCTGCTCGGCACGCTCATGCTTAGGATTGTGGAAGTAGGGTTCGCACGAGTTTTGTACCAGCACGAGTATGCCATAGCTGTGGGCAGTATATTGTATCAGCACGAGTATGCCTTAGCTATAATTTTGCACAGCACGCTATATAGGGAGGTTGAGCTGTTGGCACGCATATTGTCCCACAGGTGTGTGTTCCTCCTCCTCCTCTACCTCCTGCTCTTCCTCTTCCTCCTCCTCCTCCTCCTCCTCCTCCTCCTCCTCCTCCCTTCTTGTTCATTTATAGCTGTTTTTTCCTTGTCGCACCCCGAGGCCTGTATGTAGGGCGGGCCGGGCGTTTCGCCTGAGATTTCCTCACCGTTTATGATTCCGAAGCTTTAAGCATGGCAACAGCTTCACAGATGGCGGCGGGTGTGTTTTTATGTGGCTCCCCTTTTATGCCGCGCGCATTCGTTTAACAAAAATTGCAAGACCTTCACAGATTCAGGGTAGGGCCGTTTTCAAAATGTGGCTCTCGCCGTACCGCCGCGTGCATTCGTTTTAAAACTGTACAAGAATCTCACGGATTGAGGGCGGGTGGTTTTCGAAATGTGGCTCTCGCTTTGGCGCCGCGCACAGTCGTTTTAAACTTGAGCAAGAGCTTCACGGATTGAGGGCGTTTCCTTTTCAATATGTGGTTCTCGCATTACCGCCGCGCACATTCGTTTTCAAACTCTGCAAGAGCCCCACGGATTCCCATGATCAGCGCACCAGAAACGGAGTTTTGGAAGTATTCCGGATTCTGCTGGTGCAAAAGCTATGTTGACTCGCGGTGTTGAAGTCCCAAGAATGGCGTTCTGGCATGATTTCCAGATTGTCAGGACGCAGCATTCATGTGGATCCGTGGCGTGGAAGTCCCGAGAACATTGTTCTGGCATGTTTCAAGGTCTTCAAACGATTGTCCTCCAAAGGGGCAGTCACCTGAATGGAAATGAACCGTTGTAGGGGCCTGGAAACAGGGAGCCTCGAGGGAGACTTAATCCCAACAACGTTGATGGTTCTTGCGTTTTCACTGGTCCTCCTCCTCCTTTTCCTCCTCCTCCCCCTCCTCCTCAGGAGGGGGGAATCGAAGAAGAAAAAACTGAATGACCATAGACATTGTAAGGTTTGGACCCCCCAGGCGGCGCCTCCAGCGCCGCCCCTGGCGCGCGCCGCGCGCCGGGGAGGGGGGCCCAGCGCGGATCCAAGAAATCCGCACGGACCTCCAACAGTTGCTGGTTATGCAGTTTTGGTGTTCGTCCTGGGAAATAATAAGGCGGAGGATGGTCGGAGGTTTGGACCGACGGTCAGGAACGTCGGCTTAGCGTGTCGTGCCGCATGTTCTTGCCCACCACGCCTCGGCGCGGCACGATATCCACTCGCAAGCGAACCCCCGCCCTTTCAAGTAGATCAGTTAGCGAATTGCCGTTTGTCACTTCTCGAGGAGGTTGTGTTTCGTTGAACAGTTGGTCTGTTCACCCCCGAGGGGAGGCGGAGGAGGGGAGATTTCGAGAAAACCGTGCGATCGTCACGATGAGGAAGGAACTTGAGTGGCGGTGCGACGGGCGGCACTGGTCGATCAGCGCTGGCGTGTTGTGGCAGTTGGCGCCCAGGGGAGAGCGGAAGACAGCGAGGGGGTGATGGTGCGCAGAAGGCGGCGGAGGAGGAAAACGATCAGGGAGGACGATCAGGAGGTGGTGAGATGAGGCCGCAGCACAATCGTCTCTCGAAGCTGCAGCACTGACCCTTGAGGGACGCACTGGCGTTCTCGTGCAGATTCTGGCATGATTGTTTGTGTGCATTGCGCGCGCGTGCATGATCGTCTGTGAGGGGCTGGCGTTGCGCGCGCGGGCGCCCCCCCCCTTTGCCCTCCTCCCCTTTGCCCCTCTCGCCCCTCCCCCCCTCGCGCGCTCTCTGGTCGTTTTTCGTCGTCGTTCTTCGTTCGTCCGTCGTCAGTCGTGCCACTGGGCTCCTTCGAGCAGGTAAATAAAAAGTGCATGGCGGCGTGCCGCCCCACTTTGTAAGTTTCACGGCAGGCTGGCCGCGCACGGCCCCGGGGCCGGGCCGAGGATCCGGGAGCCGAGTCGGGGAGCGTGCAGGACGAGGGCGATAAGATTGAGCGCAGAGGAGGAGGAGGCGGAGGAGGAGGAGCAGGAGGAGGAGGAGGAGGGGGAGAAGGAGGTGGAGGGGGAGGAGGAGGAGGAGCGGAGGGGGAGGAGGAGGAGGAGGGGGAGAAGGAGGTAGGAGGGGGAAGGCGGAGGAGGAGGCGGCGGGAGGAGGAGGCGGCGGGGGGGACGGGGGCGGAGGGAGGAGGGGAGGCGGCGGCGGCGGAGGCGGAGGAGGAGGGGAGGAGGAGGCGGATCGGAGGAAGCGGCGGAGGAGGAGGGAGGAGGAGGAGGAGGAGGGGAGGAGGAGGAGGTGGAGGAGGAAGAGGAGGCGGAGGAGGAGGAGGGAGGAGGAGAGGAGGAGGGGAGGAGAGGGGGGAGGGGGGAGGAGGAGGAGGAGGGAGGAGAGGATGAGGTAGGGGAGGACGAGGAGGTGGCGGAGAGAGGAGGAGGCGGAGGGGGGGGGAGTGGGAGGAGGAAGGAGCAGGAGGAGGCGGAGGAGGAGAGGCGGCGGAGAGGAGGAGGAGGAGGCATGAGGAGGATTAGGACGAGGAGGAGTACAGGGGCGGGAGGAGAGGGGGAGAGGAAGAGGAGGGTGAGGAGGAGGAGGTGGGGGAGGATGAGGAGTGGAGGAGGAGGGGGAGGAGGGGGGGGAGGAGGGAGGA